AGAAATTCAAATTTGATGACTTGATGTGATGGATAACGGTCATATTTTTCATTTTAATAAGAAAAGAATGGGAACCAAACAGGAGCTATATCAACAAAATGAGACAACTGATGTAGATAAAAGCTTCAACAATGTTATGATCTATGATAAATCACAAAATTACATGTTCATAGCATTAAATTTGCTCTTGAGGTGGTGCTTCTTCCTCTACCCAAAAGTCAGTTTTCTCAATGACCTCACAATCAATTGAATCGCGAGTTCTCCTCTTATAATGAAGTCTATAAGGTAAAATTTTAAAAATCATATTACATGAGAGATAACTAGATAAACACCAATTTCAAATAAGAAGTAAAATAGACTTAGAATATACTTGATAGATTAAGTAATTATATTCTTCAATCACAAACTATAAGTCACGTAAACAAGATCATTGAATCATTGATGCTCTAATCTATTTCTCTTCTTGCTGAGAATATGTTCACAGACCGTCCAATTTCTCTTGTATCCTGAAATTGATTAACCAAGAATTCTAACAACTATTTTTTCGCAAATTAGGAGGGGCTATGGACAAATAATTTTCTCCGTTCATTACATAAAATGAACTGAATAGTTATAAGCAATATATTGCATAAATTGATAAGAATCAGATCAAGTAAAAATATATTGTAAAAGCTATAAATTAAATACTCAACAGGTTGTAATGTTTTCCTAGTATTATAGGCAGCTTTGCCTCCCAAAACTTCCCGGGCTTTGTCGGTATGAGTCATATGACCTTATTTCGCTAGTTGGTTTTTGCTCATCGTCGCACATGCTAGTATTTAAATCACATTCAAGAATACTACTCGGGACTTCTACTTCCTGCAAAAAAAAATTTGTAAATAAAAGTAGGATTGAGATAATAAGTTGATGGATGTATGTAAAGCCGAAGATGCTTATTCAATCGTTGCTCAATTATATGAATACAAGGCTTGTACAATCTTTCTTTATTCATAATATGCTCTTAATTTTCTTCTCTGTCATATGCATGCCATCATACACATATCCTAAAGAAGGCTTTCATTTGAATTTACAATGGATATCATGACATATGATAGGAGCCACAATTTTTATGATCATCAAGCAATCTTCCAAACTTTGCTATCTAAGATGACAAACTTTGAAGTGTCATTTGCACTTCTTGAAAGTTCATGGCTTTTGAAATGCCTGCTTGTCTTACAAACTTTGAAGAACACGCTTATGATTTTAAATTAATTTTCAATATAATATTCCTGTTTGATTTAGCTAAATAAGTTGATAAAAATATAAGACAAAATCAGTAATTAATTTTAACTAGCTTACATTTCATGGAACCACAATTTTATTCACTTTTCAATCACATATTTCACTTTTTTTTTTATCAAATTTACTAAATATATGATTTTTAGCAACACCAACTATGGACTGCACACTGTAGACTATTAAAAAAAATAAATTGTGATTATACACATATATTGTAATTTGTGAAGCACATGGTTCAAGGTAGGTCATATAATTCAAGCCACCACACCAATATTCTTCAAAATAAGATTTAAGCAATGTGCAATACAAGGAGATCAATAAAATGCATTATCAGTGACCATATGTAAGTACATTTGTACTCCCAACCCCTCTCTGCGATTAAGTTGCACGGTGTTCGAGCATCGTTCACAAAATCTAAAGCATCAACAAATTCGATAAATGAAATTCCATAAAAGCAATATACTAAAAAAATTATCAAAGTTATATGCCTTTGATCATTCCAACCATCAGCCATTATACTGTCCATTATTCATTCATCAAATCCTCTCCACATTGAAGTAAGAGGAGTTGAGATTTGTTGTCTCTCCACTAAAATGTTGACATCTTACAACACTAACTCACATTAGTTTTAGTGAGGACAGTTAATAAGACAGCGTACCTCAACTTAAGTAGTACTTGTATACCATCAGAATGTTCGTACCTAATTAATGCATTAATGAGCAATAAAGTCTCTAAAAAGTCATGGAGAACATACTATGATCATAGTATGAGGGTGGTTGTGCAAGTCGGCCCCCATCGTTATATGAACATTTAATGGTGCCTTTCAATCCTACATGAAATTTACAGAGTAAAACTTGGACTATAGTAATCACAATGGCATTGGTTAGTCAAGGCTAGTCACACACTATCGTGTCCATGCTGAGCCTACCTGTGCACATTGTAGAATGATACAGAAGTATTTTAGAGGTGCACATTGTCTTGCTTCCAGCGACAGGGTGGAGGTTCGAATCATGATGGGAACCTGCGGCTAGATTTATTTGGTATGAAGCAATCACTTTGGAGGAGGATCTCTTGTGCGCAGAAGTGTACAGGCAGGGGGGGGAACCTGTGATCCAGTTGAGGCATAACCCGCAATTTACCCCCTCCAAGGTTCTAGGGGCAAGAGTTTTGGGGGTCCAGGATTTAGTCTAGTGTAAGTTGGGATATTTGGATATAAAAAAAAAAAAGAGTTGATGAGCCTTAAAATCTTCAAAGTTCAATACAGTGGAGTTGATGTGACAATTATTTGGCACATCGAGCATGGGTGGTGAGCGGTTGCAAATTAGTACAATAAGTGATTGTATCGTGGCATTTTATGGAAGTACGGAACCTATTGGATTGTTGAAGGCTCGTCACTAGTCAACAGACGTGATTGGCACGTAATCTAAATGTAGATATTTCACAACATTTATAGAACGTTACAAAATGCGTTACATATTAATGTTTTCGATAACGGTCAATGTCCATTGTTAAATCTATGAAATATAAAAAAAAAATTGCAACAAAATGTGAACGTTGCAAATTAATACACTAGCAAGATGCATCGATATATTATTGTCAAATTTGAACTGAATTAACCAACTGAAGCATACATTTAGGTTTTGTTTGACCCACATTTTTTTTCAAAAAATACATTCTTAAACAGTGATTTGACATCATTTCAACCATACATTCTTCAATAAAATAATATTACATGCAAATCTAAAACTTTTTCTTACTTTTTATCCACACATTTTTCATATTATTCAAAAATGCATTCTTGTAAAAATAATGTGGCTCAAACAATGGCTTAATGATTGTTACGATAAGTCCCTTTTAGCAATATGCCATTAAAACTATTGTGAAAGGATTTTTATTATTTTTTAAAGAGACAAAAAGGAATGAATAGACTACTTTGCTAGGATTTTCTTATTTGTTGCTTTGCTTAAATATCAAATGTTCCGATTGTGTCTTTGTAACTACAATTAAAAATGTTGCAAGAGGTTTTTGAGGAGCATAAACCTCCAAATGATATAGTTAAGTTTGCAGCAAAGCAATGATGCTTCATTTTCATTGATTATTAATGTGTTCATATACAAATAGAAAATAGATCCACAACTAAGTGGGTCTTCTATGAATCCCACATTATCTTCTAACAAATTGGATAATATAATTGAAGGTTGGAAGTGAACACGTCTAACAATCCACTAATACTAAGTGAAGCTGATTTAATACTTAAACTATAAATAAATACAAAAAGGATAAACGATTAACTAAAATAAATATATAAGCCTCCTTTTGTATATTAAATTTATAATTTTTTTATTTTTATAAATTAAGTCAAATACAAACATTAATTTTTCAATCATATATACGCTCATATCTATTCATTGTTATTGACACATTTTGTAGGACTCACTATTATTTTATCTTTATAAATTATTTAGAAATTTGTCAAATGGAGGCGAAGAAATTTAATTTACATATATGGTAAGATATCCGTTATTAGATCTACAAAAAAATTCGAGCTTAGACGCTTAGCAATCATATACATCGTCTCTATTTTTATCTACTCTTACTTTTCTAGTACGTTCTAGCGTGACACATGACGTAACAATAAAAAGCAATAGCAATTCTCTTATAATACAATTCCTTTAACGCTATATTGCTCTAGAAACAATAAAAAGCAATAGCAATTATATTGTACTCGTGAATAAATAATCAACGAAAAACGAATAATAAATTCCTTTTTTCTTCAAACTTCTGTAGATAAATTACACCCTAAGAAAAATGATGTGGATCCACCTTCCCCGGTGATGGTACTTATGATAATAGATACCATCTTTTCCAACGATTCTGTTGCATTGCACCGGATGGGAGTTGGGACCCCTTAAATAATAAGAGCTGGAAAAGATTCACTTTTCATCTTTGGACAAAAATTAGGGCAGAAAAAGGAACTTTAACCTATTGAAAGGTTAGCAATGAAGCCAAAACTGTACTGTCATTTGGGACCTCACGGGACATTGTGTTTTGGCCTTTGGGGGATTGGGAAGCATGTCGGAATTATTAACACATGATCGAACACAATGTCTATTTTTCGTCGGTTCCCTTCCCTCGACTAGGTATTAATTGAAAATCTTGACTGTTCGAATAGTTACAAGTGTACAATGTCCCAATATTTAACTATACCAGATTTAATTCCATAATAATTAATGATCGTTTAAAAATTTCAACCTATTCATGCACGTACAACTATCTCCTTGTCAACCTTTGCATTTTAAACACAAAGTATTTCCAAGCATATAAAACACTTGATGCCAGTCTAATTATGCAGAAACTTGATTCGTCTACCTTAAATATACTGCAGAAACATCTATAAATTATGAAAGAAATTAAAAGTAAGAATTAATAGTTTGGAGAGTTTGGAATTGAATGAGATTGAAAAAATTGTTTAAGATCGTGAATTAGTTTTTGGCACATAACACTGCCGCTCGAGCGCCAGCTTGATAGCTAGCAAGCGGCGAGCCCTCTGAAATTACCGCTTGAGTGCTGCCTTGGTGGTTGGAGAGTGATTTTGCTTCTATTTTTTCTCCTTGGTTCATCTTTGACTCCTTCACGACCTATATTACCAACCTCCAACTCTTTGACTCTCATTACAACTCAATTACATTAGTTTCGTACATGGAATGCGCCAATTAAATTGAGACCTAACAAAAAGTAATTGTTTTGAACAACTACAAGAACCAGGTAACTCCATCGGGAGAACATATTAAAAGATCAGAAAAAATCCCTTCCAAGTGAACAATTCACCAAGAAAGATAAACTAATATATTCATCATACACTTCAATAGATCAGATGAAATCCTTTCCAAGTGCATAATTCACTGAGAAAGATAAACTAAAAATATTCATCATACAGTCTGAGCTTAGTATGGTACTGCATACCGAACATGCTATCCCAACTAGGAATACAAGACCAAGCGGCGGGCGCAGAGAGTGCAGATATATTTCCTCTTGACTAAAAGGCAAAGGGGAAGAAAGCAGAACCTCCTTTTGCACTCGAAATCCACCATGTCCACCTTCCCTTTGCAATGGGGACACGCCCCTGTTGCTTGTTGACGACCCAACTCTCTCTCCTCTTCTCCACAAACATAAACCCAACACATTGTATATATATGTCTGTGTATAGTTTATCTAGTATATATGTGTGTGTTCTGTTTGTTTTCTGGTGTTTATATGCTTTTGGATTTTTGATGGCCAAGTCAGTGTCTACTGTTCATACATAGGTAGATTTGGGTGAGGGAAAAACACCCTTTTACCACTGGTCGCTTGAAATTTACTGTAAGTACGGTTGATTGATCTGGTGTAATAAAGCCTTCTTTCTATTTATTTTGGACGGTTTCACTTTAGGCCTGTTTGATTCCTAATTTTTTTCCAAATGTATTTCTCTCTCTTAATTTTAACCACACATTTTTCATTAAAATAATATTACACGTAAATAAAAAACTTTTCATCCACATATTTTCCAGGAATCTACTGTTCTAAAATTCATTTTTATATGAAAATGGCTATCAAACACTCTCTTAATATTGTTACCACGACAAGTTTTTTAGTTTGAAATAAATTCGAGTAATACTACGTGGCATACAGTTGCTTAGCATTAGTCTAGATTACGGCCACTTAGATTTGTGTTAAGCACTAATAGGGCTACGTTGCATTATTCTTTCATGGTTTGAATTTCTATAATATTATGTGTGGTTGCAATAATTTTGTCGATGGTAACTAAAAAATAAAAAAATGGTTGACAACAGTTCAATCATGTTGAGAAGGGGCATTAGGCCATTCCATATCTCACATGCGTTGTCACATGAAAAAGGAAAAAGAGAGAGAAAAGAAAAGGAATGGTAGAAAAGTGAACAAAAATTTAATGAAATTAAGAAACAAAATGGTAGAAAAGTAAGATTAAGGTTGTAAACATAATTTATATAATCTGCAATTAATTTCTTATTCAGTTTCATGTTTAAATTTATTATGAAAATAAAATTCTTCATTGGAACATGTTCAAGATAATCCCACAAGCGTATAAGATCGTTGTACAAATAATAAGATTTGTGAATTATAAGTATAATTCCTACGAAGAATAAGGTCTATTTTGTAGTTCAAAAGTTTTTATCAAATTCGATTGAGTAATGACATCAAAAGAGTGATTTTATTGTTTTTTATACTTTTCTAATCTATCCTAATAAATCAAGTGGGTTTTAATTTTATCGAATGTGAATGCTTGCATTGGATTCATGATTTTTCGTATTTCCATCTATTTTAATTATCAATTAATAATCTAGTTAATTTCTTGTATTTTTGACAATCGATAAAGCTAATATGTTAAATGCTCTTTCCCAAGATACACTAACCTATAGTTAACACAAGGTGGTCCTATTTCTAATCTGAATTCATATGGAAAGTCATGCACTTAGTTTAAATTATCAATAAGATTGTTTGTGTAAAGGAGATTATTTCTAATTATGTGTGTTAATTTTATCGTGTTCTAAACTTATTGTGAGTATTCCTACACCACAACAAGTAACTAACTATTTAATTAATGGTCAAACAACCAAATGATATAATGAGTATGTAAAATCAATCAAACAGCACAAGAGCTTCCTAAATTAACATCTTGAATTAATATAAATGAAAATAGGGTTCAAACACTCATCCAATACAATTGAAAAACTCGCTTAACATGTTTAAAATTCAATTACAAAAGAATAATTGAAAAATCATCACCCTGAAGAAGAGATAAGAATTTTCTACGTTTTTTTTATGTGAATCTTGAATCTGAATGAAAAATTTTCAATATCCTTGCAATTCGCCTTGATTCCACATTGTTAGCCTTGTTCTTCACCTCCAAAAATTGATTAGTATATATGAATTTTTAGGTCTAATGAGGTTCCCTATGTTTTGGATGGCTTAAGTGCCAAAAGATTGTATAACGAAAGTTTCCAAAACAAAATAAGGAAATATAATTTTTTCCTGGAATTGAACCATGTGTATACATAATACATTTGATGTGTACGAACAATACACGAAATTTGGTTTTAGGTATGCTTTTTGTGATCCAATCCGACGCAACTTTTGAATTATTGGATTTTAGTCCCCATAGTTTTGATTTCATCATTTTTCTCTATTTTTCACTTGCTTTTTTTCAATTCTTCATCAAATTATGAGTTTTACCTATCAGACACAATATAAAATGAATTAAGTTATATTTCATTAAAAAAAACTATAAATGTTATTATTTAAAGCCCCGAATAAATGTATAAATTACAGTTATCATAACACAATCTTTGGACCACAAATATACATGTTTTACACTACAATTTTAATTTCTTGGTGATTTTGGCACAATTTTGAAAACAAAAATGTGACTTTCCAGTTCTTCATTTTGCTGAGACATTTAGTACTTGTACAACTTGGCGTTCCACAGCACTAATGTATATTTACAATTGAGTTTTCTCAGTTAATGGAAAGGGCGCAAAATGGTATAACACTAAGTTACTGGGGGCAAAATTTCAACATATTACTTCAGTCTTTTACAAAGTTAGGTGTATTAAGATAAACTAGCTTTTGTATTGGGAGAATTTCTTTACTTTAAGTTGGATGCATCATACATGACTAGATACACATATACCCTGTTTGGGCTCCATTAAAATGAGTTTTTGGAAAGAAATATATTTAGAAATAGTGATTTCTGAAGAATGCGTGATTAAAATGAGTTTTTTTTAATGTATTTTTGAAAAAATAGAACCCATATAGGGGCATTATAAGATGAGATATGAGCTACAACTTCTTCGTTTTCATATGATTAAATTGTGGTGCGAATATAAACATAGACTGACTTGCATTTGTTACGCATATAGCCAATAGTTGCTTAGTAATGCATATAAGCTTTGACTGATATATTACAAGCAAGAAAGAAAGTGATCTCAAGACTACCGGATTGGAAGTTAGAAGATTGAAAGTAACTTGCATGATTAGGGCGAGAAGGAAGGGATTTGTTCAATTGGTCAAAACTTGAGGGCAAAAGAGGATTTTGTAAAGTCTAAGGGTTCAAATGAAGTATGTTAATTAAGTGGACTCGACTAGCGAAATAAGGACTAAGGTTGAAAATTGGCATTTTGCTTCCAAAGAAGAATTTTCTTGGTATATATAAATTGTGAATGTTGGATTAAGCTTTAAAAATTCATTCATAAGTTTAGGTTCAAATAAATAAGTTTTAAAATAATTATATCTTTATTTGTTAAAATTAACAAGAAGTAACTAATATTTTTTATCTCGAATTTATGTTTTTCCTTAGCCAAAAAAATCTGCACAACGAAATTTATCGATTATCATGTCTAGTCTAACTTAATAAACGTGTTAGAATTATCAACCGTTTAATGATGTAGGGTAGGTCTTTACATGCCCGATGTTTTCGAGCAATAAAATAAAGCTCTTACCTAACACCATACGAAAGGTAAATTAGTATGACTCTATATGTAAAAATATATTTAAGGATCCCACATAGATAGCGAAATTGATGCAATTGAATCAACTGGTGGAGCTACCTTTGCTTTTTGTCGCTTTCAATGGCTCTACATACGTAAAAGTTCCACAAAATTTTCGAACGTTTGATTGCACAAAGAAACTGAGTTATAGGCAAAGTTCAACATCATAATGTGACTTCTTTCTTTGTATGATCAAGTTCTAGTCATTGTCCCATTGATTCTTTTTTCAAATGTATAAACAAAAGAATTATTTGTGAAAATTAGAGATAGATCTAATAATAAATAATCGAATCTCTTATCTTGATGTAGTCTTTTTTGTCATGTTTCGTCATACAGACTTCTTCAGTACTGTATGGCTTAAATAAAAGAAAATTAAAAACTTTTCTATATGTATAATTTTGTATCATTAAGTGATGTTACATATAAATTTATGTGTTATTAAAAACAGATTCTTTTAATTTTCATTATAGCCCCGTTTGTTTCTCATTTTTTGAAGAATGAGGATGAAAAATATAGTCGTTATGGACCCCACACAAGAGATAAAAATTCAAATTTGATGACTTGATGTGATGGATAACGGTCATATTTTTCATTTTAATAAGGAAAGAATGGGAACCAAACAGGAGCTATATCAACAAAATGAGACAACTGATGTAGATAAAAGCTTCAACAATGTTATGATCTATGATAAATCACAAAATTACATGTTCATAGCATTAAATTTGCTCTTGAGGTGGTGCTTCTTCCTCTACCCAAAAGTCAGTTTTCTCAATGACCTCACAATCAATTGAATCGCGAGTTCTCCTCTTATAATGAAGTCTATAAGGTAAAATTTTAAAAATCATATTACATGAGAGATAACTAGATAAACACCAATTTCAAATAAGAAGTAAAATAGACTTAGAATATACTTGATAGATTAAGTACTTATATTCTTCAATCACAAACTATAAGTCACGTAAACAAGATCATTGAATCACTGATGCTCTAATCTATTTCTCTTCTTGCTGAGAATATGTTCACAGACCGTCCAATTTCTCTTGTATCCTGAAATTGATTAACCAAGAATTCGAACAACTATTTTTTTGCAAATTAGGAGGGGATATGGACAAATAATTTTCTCCGTTCATTACATAAAATGAACTGAATAGTTATAACCAATATATTGCATAAATTGATAAGAATCAGATCAAGTAAAAATATATTGTAAAAACTATAAATTAAATACTCAACAGGTTGTAATGTTTTCCTAGTATTATAGGCAGCTTTGCCTCCCAAAACTTCCCGGGCTTTGTCGGTATGAGTCATATGACCTTATTTCGCTAGTTGGTTTTTGCTCATCGTCGCACATGCTAGTATTTAAATCACATTCAAGAATACTACTCGAGACTTCTACTTCCTGCAAAATTCTTTTTGTAAATAAAAATAGGATTGAGATAATAAGTTGATGGATGTATGTAAAGCCGATGATGCTTATTCAATCGTTGCTCAATTATATGAATATAAGGCTTGTACAATCTTTCTTTATTCATAATATGCTCCTAATTTTCTTCTCTGTCATATGCATGCCATCATACACATATCCTAAAGAAGGCTTTCATTTGAATTTACAATGGATAACATGACATATGATAGGAGCCACAATTTTTATGATCATCAAGCAATCTTCCAAACTTTGCTATCTAAGATGACAAACTTTGAAG